AAAAGAGACGCTCGCTGTTTGTCGTGCGTTCAACTAAGTCTTCCGGTCTTTCATTGCGCCGGCAATGCCAACATGTCCTGAGGCAGATGAGGGCCGAGCGCCAGAGCCCTGCCAGGCGGACTGACCGGATTCCCTGCTCATGGAACACAGGTTGAAGAAATCTTCGGGAGCTGCAGTGCTCTTAGTGTTCCAGGGTGTGGTGATGATGTTCAAAGTTGCTTCGACAGGTCATCTACGTCCCGGTGTTTATGCCACACAGATGCAGGAGACAGCTCCAGTGCACAATTTGCTTGTCGAGGTTATGTGGTGTCGGTAGTTTGGCGGGGATGTGTTTGGCCTTGGCCACTCCTGGTGTAGGTCGCGCACTGCTGCAGATTCAATGGTCCGCCTTGGTGCCTTGGAACTCCTTCGCCTCGGACAGGATCTGTGGACACGAGTGCCAACTATCCGAGATGCCGCAGGCTCGATCGACGCTTCAGCGGGACTGAGAGACCTGAAGGCTTCAAGGGTTTGAGACGTCGGTTTTGGAAAGGCCAATCTGTAGTGTAGGGATTCAAGCTCCGTTCGATCCACCTGCCCATGGAGGAGTTGCCGCGTCCCAGCACGAATCCGACCTTTGGCAGCTGGTGCTCACCACCTGCTCAGAGCCTGGCTACTGTTGTAAATGACTTGCCTGCTTTCCTCGCACCTGCCGAAGCACCCCGTGGACGCCGGCACACCTTGAGGATGAAGCACTAGTTGGTAGTGTAGTACAGGGAGCGGGCCTTGTGCTCGCCCTGTGCTGTGCAATGCTGCTCGGCCTTCACAATGGAGCTCGGGTGCTTCGCGAGTGGTTCGCATGCAAGTCACAACGGGTTGAAGGGAAACACTCCAACCCAGGCTTCCCAGCCTGCTTCCATCGACATCGCGCTATTGGACGCTTGGGAGAGCGGCGGCAGCAGTGTCTGAGACGAAATGAAGGGATTGGAGTGTAGCGGTGTTGATGCATCAGTGGGGCCACCATATGGCAAGAATGTAGACGTAGGACGGGAGTCACTGCCAGGACCACAGCATGATTTCTCAGCTACACTTGCGACCGCTTGTCGCATCGAATCACTGGCATCGTTGTGGAACTGATTCAGAAGTCATGTCATGCAGATTTTGCCGCCATCCGCTCCGACTCGACCGATTGCAGAGCCAGTTCCACTGATCGTGCAGACCTCAGTCCTGCTCGTGTGCTGAGATAGTGTGGTGTTAAGCCGGCGTGTCTTGCCCAGAGGTGAGGCATATTGAGGATCCCTCGGCCAAGATCCTGCAGACGCCTATAGGACAGGCAGTCCTTGAGAATTCAAGGAATTTACGTCCGCAGCTTTGCAATGCTAGCTCAAGACTTTGCAGGAGATGGGCTCTTGAACTCAATATCTCCTGTGGGCGATGCCTTAGTGCCATTGTGTCGACTGCCCAGACGGTGACTGGCGGACATAAATCTGAAAGAGCTGGTTCAATGATTTGTGCATGTCCGCAGATGCGGACATCTGTCGATGTTGCCTCATGAATGCTGGCGGCCTCATTCCTTAACTCTGACAGTTACAGGTCAGACAGGCAAGTTGTGCGCTGAGAGTTTTTGCGCGCTTGGTTGCGATACGAATCGAGGCCCTCTCCAATGCGCTCGGCCACCACACAAGCACCGGAAGACTCAGGGCTTGGAGGACTTCAGTTGGTAGGTCTCCGCGCTTGCATCTTCCGTGCTTGCCCTAGCTTCAGAAAGGCAGTCTTCCTTGGGCGAATCCAAAGTTTCCCAACCAAGGGTTCAGGAAGACCGCAAAAGTGAGTGATGCTTGGAAACATTTAAAAGCGCGTGCTTTGCCACGGGCCAGGAGAGGTGGTGGCTGGAGTACGACCCGCCCAAAGCAAACTACAAGAGTGGTTTCGGTCGAGGTCCGTTTGGTGTGGGTCTGAGCGTCCTGGAGTAGCATTGCCTGGCTTGTGTTGCAGTTCATGCATTGCGCCAAGGTGGCAACAGTATTCCGAAGCAGAACTGGCCACGACAGATGGTGCCCATCGAGCTTAAAAAGCAGCTCTGCCTCATTCATGCGTGTATGAAGAGCGCGTAGAGAGTGCTACGCAGGGATCTATTTGCGTGCCTCGAGGAAGTGGGAGAAGCGTGAAAGATTGCGCTATGCTTTTCGCAAGCACGGCTTCGAACTGGATGTTCCCAAGCTGGGGGGCTGAGCTCAGCCGCTGCGGAAGCCGTGTCACAAGTTCAAGAGCAACCGACAGATGAAGTCCTCCGCGAAGAAATTATGGCGTGCATTCGCACCTGCTAGCACATGTCCACGTACTAGCCTGATGAGGGAAGCGGCCTAAACACCTGATGTAAGATACAAATCCAAGGGTTAAGTCGCATTGCGTTGTGTTTAGTCGCATCGATCCAGCGTGCAAGAGGGGATTCCGCTAAAATGCAATGATGCCACGCATGTGTGTCTCGAAACGAGTGCTTGTGGAATTGAGCGTTCGGATGGGGAATGGCTGGTTTTGATATGTTGTGATGCCACTTGTGTCTCAGTTGGTGCTTGCGAAATCCAGCGTCTACAAGGGGAATGGCTGGT